ACTGTAAAGCGGTTATCCCTTTACAAATATTTCTCGGTGATTCCCGACAGGAAATTAACATCCCACATCCAAAAAAATTTTTTTTTTTTTGTACTGGGGATTGAATAATTCAGGGGCACTGGACCACTGAGCCACATCCCCAGACCTATTCTGTATTTTATTTAGAGACAGGGTCTCACTGAGTTGCTTAGCGCCTCCCTTTTGCTGAGGCCAGCTTTGAACTTGAGATCCTGCCTCAATTTAGAAGGGGCAGAGCAAAGAGTAAGAAAAGGGATTGTTAAGTAGTCTGCCATCCTCAAATTTCATTTGTTTTTCTTCACACACTGTATGACGCCAGTAGCAACATACATCAATGATAGAATTTTTGCACAACTAAACAAAAATTTTAAATGTAAAATAATGAGAAGTCGTTCTTTGATTGACATAAATAATCTACTTGACTGCATGGAAGAACCTACTTGTTTGCAATGCCTGCGATTTGAAAGTTTTAATGTATTGGCCTAGAGCTGCCAGTTGGCCTTGATACCAATACTGATGACTGCCAGAGCCAATGATTTCAAAGTAACAAACTTGTTTCACTTCCATTACTAAAGTAGATACTAGCCAATACCAAGGCACTATTAAGGTGGACACTAATACTTTACTAAACCAGGAATTTAAAAAGACTTATTCAAAAGACACTTTTTTATCCACCCCCCATCTTTAAGGATTCTTAATGCAGTTTCAACAAAAGTTAGTACCAAAAAATCAAATAATTAAATGAAAATTATTCATTTCTTCTAAATAATGTGAGACTATAATATATTGCATAAATGTGTACATACACAATTTTTTTAAACATTTACAATGCAATATGGGGGACACTGTTTTTAAAATTATTTGTGTTCCCTTAAAATTCTAGGCTCTATCAAGCATTTTCCTAAATATTTCCAAAGACAATATTAACTTGAAACTCTTATGTCCAATAATTTGTGCATGAATAAACTGCATTTACAGGTATATGAAGTAGCTGCTAAGTGAAAGGACATTACCTGGTAATTTGACAGGAAAAGAGTCCACAGACAGTCTGTAAACCAATTAAACATAAACATCTGATGCACATTTTCTACTGAAAGAAAAGCAAGGGAAAGAAGAGAAAGGAAAACTTTAAAGTTCCCAAGTCTACAAACAATTTTTACCATTAACTGTACTGTACAGTATTTCCATTTATCTTTAAGAAAATATATAAAAGTGTTTTTTTTGAGGATTCTTTTGAGAGAATAAATATTTTAGCATAGATATATAGTTTCTATGAGTTACCCTGTTGAATTTTTAAATTTTGGTCTGAAAGTAAAATGACTTTTTAGAAATGTCAGTTAATAAACCATTTTCTTGATACACTTGATGAAAAAAGCTAAAGGCAAAAAACAATGTATGTGCCTGGCCCTGAGGTGGGTACAGATAAAAACAACAAAAGGCCTAGAGGTAGAGGAAACTTAGGTTTTATATACCAGAAAGTTTAGGGAAAGTTTTCCATTAAAACATGAAAGTTAATATATGAAATTGAGCTGGCTATCAAGGGAAAGACTAAAGCATTGTTAAAATACAAGGCACAGAAATAACTTGCTTGCTTTAGTCCATTAATTCTTTGATTCTTCAGTTCAACCATATACAAAAATCCCAATTGGAATAAAGAACAAGGGATCAGGTCCTGTTAAGGACTGAAATGAATACTGGAAGTTAGGAAATTGGATCTAAGACATTTTTAAATGGATATTTACCTTGCTATTAAACAACTTTTAAGTTTAATATTTCTTTATCAATGCTATTAACTTTAAATGGCATTGTTATTTAGGAAAAAAAATTCCCTCTACATTTTTTTCCTATAAATGTAGGTTTAGTCAATCTAAAGGAAGGAGAAAAAGTTCTAGTACTCTAAGTTATAGGTAACACATCACTATGGAATTCAGTTACTTTCACTCATTTTACTCTTTACAGAGCTTCTTTAAGGAAAAAAGTCTTTCTCAAAACTCTTGCTTAACCTCTTCAGTATAAAATACGTAAGAACTAACTATTCACTGGTCATACAATCTTAGTGTTGGATGGGACTTTATAGGTTTTTTAGTCAATTTCTTTATACTTTGGCATAGGAATTCCTCAGAATGCTTCTACTACCAGGCTTTTCTGCTTATGTTTAAACACCTCCTGTGATTCACCATATCTCATGAAGTGACTGCTGTTTTCAAAAAAAGTTCAAATTTTGAAACATTCTTCTGTTTATTAAGCCAGAATCTGACTTAGTCATTTTTATCTATTACCCTTAGTTCTTTGGTACTTTGTATTAATTCAACAGATATCTTTTTTGTATTCAAATGCCAACAGTCATTGATTTAGTTTAACAAAACTATATCTTTAAATCCTATTGCTATTAAGTGAGCTACAAACAGGACATAATAAAGCTAAAAGCGTGAGAAAAATCATTGTTAACTATGACTTGTTCAAAATTATTGTACTGTATATTATTAATTCCAGCCAAAATGGCAGCTCTGTTAGAACTGTACAAGTCAAAAAATTGTGACTAATTCCAAATTTATGTGAGTATTATGGTTTATATCCCCAAACAAAAAAATTCCTACAGAAAGTCTAAATAAATGCCTCTTTTGCTCTTACTCTCTCCTTGTTTTTAAGCAAATACTAATTTTCTACCACATTAAGCTACTCACAATTATTATTATATTGGGAAATGTTTTTGAGCAACTTACTGAATCCTCCATTCAAAAGTTATTCAACAATTTCAGAAACTATAAAATGCATACATACACACAAACACACATGAACCCCTTAAGATATTATATTGCTACTGACAGATGCATTTAGGGTCACAAATTTACCTCAACCTTAAACTAACCCATAAAAAAAAACTCATCTGACAATTTTATGCCTTTTATTCAGGACCAACTCCTGATTCAAATACAAGAAATGTATACACCTATACTATGGGAACATGTTCATGCAAGTCAAAAAGGAAGCTCTCAAAATGCACCAAGGAAAGACTAGTTACAATTTTAACTCCGGGGCTGATATACTGAAATAGGTGAACACAACACATCGAAAATCCTAAAAACAAATTCTGTATCTAATAATTTTCAGGGTCCAAGTCCTTTTGAGATTGTTTTGTAAACTATTAAAACTTGTTTTCTTAAATAACATTTTAGATTTACCTTCACATTAGTAGGCAGAATGCAGGTTGCAAAAGCAGTAACGTATTACATTTGGAAGCCTATATCTATGCAACAATAAGCATCATACTTTTGTTAGTTTTTTTTTTTATTATTAACACCCCAAACACTTATATAGCCTTTGGTTCTTCAGAGAACAGTTCTGGTTTTCTTTTCATAATTCTTATCAGGTGGCTTTATCCAGTGGCCCTATTTCATCAGTATATTACAAACTAATATGTTAAGATTTTATACATCGCTGATGTTAAGTATCTCACCCAAATTCTGGAAGTTATTGGCCTGTTAGTAGTTCTCAAACACTGGAACATACAGAAAAGTAACGTAATATTTATAATATTTGAGGGAGTTTGGATTTTCCCTCCCTTCATCTCCAAGTGTGCCCTTGCCTACCAGCATCACATCCGTCTTGTCTGCATTGAACCTCAACCAGTTGGTTCTTAACCACGTCCGAAACTCAGCCAGGCACTGGGAGAATCGAGCCACCACACCATCTGGATTAAAGGAAAGAGAGCCTCAGTAGCAAAGAGTCAGAAACAATTTTTATCCCAAGAGCACCATTCTGTCTCAAATTTTTAAAAACATTACTGGGAACTAGGTCAAGTATCCCAGTACAATTTTGGGAAAAAATTAATGCAATTTGTAACCAACAGTAAAGGAATAAAAGTAACCCAATAAATAGGTCGCCGTATTTCACCCACGAGTTAAGAAAGAAGGTTCGGTCAACTCGGGGTCGGGTGTGCTAAGCAGCCTTAGACTGGTCATAAAATTGCGATAAGTTTTCCTGCAAAATTACAGTTTTAGCGTTGTGGGGAGGAGCGCTAAATGGGGAAAATTGAAGCCCAGAGAAGGATAGCGACTCGCCCAAGGTCACACAGCATGCAAGGACCAGAGATGCGTTCCAGGCCAGGGACCTCTCCGTTATAAGCTGAAACATCACCAAAGGAAGCAAGCACGCCTAGCTTCCTTACGGCGATCCCATCTTTGCAGTCTCTTCCCTCCTCTGCTCCCTTAGAAAGGGCAGGTTGGCCCAGGACCCCGCTACCACAAGGGTTGCAGTGTTTCGGAGGGAGCCTCCCAGGGCCGGACACATTTGGGGAAACACAGGGGAAAGGGGTGGAGCCACAGGGGAGTGGTCATTTGACCCCAACCCGACCAGGATCGAGGACCGACTGGTAAAAGGGGCTGGAGCAACCGGGGCGAGGCAAACTCACTCCGCAGCGGATTCCCAGCGCGCCGTGGACGCCAGGGAGACCCGCGCTGCCGCCACCGCGAAGCAGAAAGATCGGGCGCGGAGGGGGTGGGCGGAGGCAGGGAGTTGCGCATGCGCCTCCGGTGGCCGGCGCCTCCGCTCGGCCCGCGACCAGGCGCGTTCTCTGGCAGCCCCTCCCCGGAAGTTAAGAGTCTTCCGGGCGGTACTCTGCAGTGGGGGAGGGGAGGGAGAAAATGGGGACTGAGGACACCTCAGGAGCCCCTCATCCCAAGAGGAGTGAGAGGGGAGAGATGGTGTATAGAGGCTGCACTTACAGCCGCTGCCGCTGCCGCCGCCGCCACCTTCGCTGCTGCCACCACCGCCTGAAGAAGCCCCATCCATCCGCCTGCAGCCGGGAGACTCAGAGCCTGGGAGGGGCCTGGGGCCCGGGCCGCCCGCCTCCTCCTTCCAGTCGTCGTCCGGAGCTTCCTCCTGCTCCACCAACCCTCTGCCCTCCCCTCCGCCTCCGCCCTCCTCCTCGGCCTCGAGCCGCCAGCCAACCGCGCGGCCGCTTGTTGAGCCAGGGCTCCACCGTCTCCATGGCGCCCGGCAAACATTTCTGAGCCTCGGCGCTACCCGCTAACGCCCCGGGTTGGGGAACTGGGGACTCCAGAAGCAGCCTGGAAAGGGGTGGTCGACAACTCCCAAACCCGTCGCCACCATGCCCGTTTCTCCGACAAACAGCCGCAAGCAGCCAAACCTCTCGCCGTAAGTTCCGGCGCGAAAATCGTATTCAATTCCCGTGGGCAGCCGAGGGAGCCCTTCTAGATACTCTCCCTAGATTTGGAAAGGGGTCATTTTACTGCATCTGGGTATGGTCAGCAGCCCTCCCAGGCGGCAGTGGTTCCTTCTCTCGCCTGGAGCAGCCTTTTAAAAACCAATAGTGCTCTGCTTGCTCTGAGAAGACCTGGTTTTGTTTGGGACCACTTGTCCTCCTAGTACTTAGAGTTTGGGGGCGCCCCCCCCATCTACATTCTGGTTTGATGCTTCTATGCTCTGCTCACATGCTCAGGTTCATCAGCTTCTGGAACCTCAGATTAAACATTGCTCTGCTTGATACTAGATGATTTTGTTTTTTAACTATCCTGCCTTAAAATTCTGCTGACTTATCTCGCTTGTAACTTGAAATGGTTCCTTTGGGCTGCTCACTAAATTCCACTGAAGTTCCCCAGTTTATTTATCTCTCTGGCACTTCCAGATCACTTTTGTTCTCTCTTCACAAACCTTCAACATCCCTTTCTCCAATCTTCTTCAGCGCAATTGATCTTTTTTTCATCGCAACTTGTTGAAAGTTCTTGGAAGAGAACCTTCTGTTCACCTTTGAATATGGTACTCTGGCTTTTGTCCATCCTACCACTCCACCAAAAAAGGCCTTTTTGTGAAAGTCAACAATAGCCATCCAGCCAAACACAGTAGCCAGTTTACACTTTTGTTCTTAACTGACCCATTAGCAGCTCTGATCTTATTGATCACTTCTTGAGTTTTGAAATACTTCATTTTGTTTTCTCTCTTCCCTAGATATTCCCCTGGTTCATGGCTACTTCTTTTAAAATACTTAACTGGGATCTGCTCACCTGTCCCATAACTGAACATCAAGAGTGTTGCTGGGTCATTCCTTAACCTGTTCTCTTCACTACTGCCTTATGCCTTTTAAAATCACTGATAAGGGTAATTCACAAGTTTTAGCTCTATCCAAGACCTCCCAAGAAAAAGGAAACATCTGCACTTAGAAATTATAAGACATCTCAAAATTTATATTCAAAACCCAAATCCTTCTTTTGCAAGTTTTTCCCACTTTAGTAAATGGTGAATTCCACTTGGCAGTTTCTGAGGTGAAAAACTCTGGAGTACCTTGGACTTCTCTCTTATACCTCAATAAATCAATGATTTTTACCTGCAAAATAAGTTGAGACTAGCAGTATCATATAACTCATTGTCATATTATGGTGTCTAATCTTTTTCCCAGCACCCTCCATAAAGTTGTCATTGTGATTTGTCTTCCTCAAGTTTTTTCATATTTTACTAGAGTAAATGCTCACATTCTTACAGGGTGCTATTTGGGTAATTTACTCTCAGCATGCTTTGTTACACAACACATCAGGCACGTTATTCGTATTTGTGCTTGTCTACATTTACCATTCTTTGGAATATTATGCTCCAAAATAATCTCTTTAACTCATTTTTTTCCAGATATCACCATCCATAAAATAATACATCCAGCATTTTGATCCCTCACCCTTTATTTTTTCCATAAAATTTATCCCTATAGTTATATACCTGCTTATTAATTTGCCTTCACAAGTAATGAAACTCAATGAGGACAGATTTTTGTTTTGTTCCCTGATGTGTCTTTTAGCCTAAAGAACATGCTTCGTAAATATTTATTGATTAAACAAAGGAATGTGTAAAGATGTACTTAAGTAATTGGTTACTGTTCATTTTGTCTGGTTTTTGTTTCCACCTTTAGGTTTGAAAATCTCAAAGTGAATTAAAAGTTATACAGCTCTCTAGTGGCTGAGAGTGTTAGGAAAATTCCCTTGGGAATTTCTTAAATAATGACAAATTAATAATAAATTAATTATTAAAGAAAGGATGGGATAGAATGGGAAGCAATGTAATCTTTTTGAGGTAGCTGTATTGCCATATTATATAATTTAAAAAGAAATAAAGTTTGCAATCTGTTGGCTTGACCTGATGTATTAGTTCTCCTTTTCCTCCTTTTAGGATTTAATCCTGAAGTTGTAAAGAATCTCTCAAAGCATTTATTAATTTTCCACTTTCTCAATTCAGTTTCTCCTGAATTAGATCCTTCCCATTGGCTTAATAATATTGGACAAATCTCTCATTATGGAAAAAATAACCACTGGCTCTTTCTTTAACACCTTTATTTCATTTTTATGCCTATTAGATATGAGAAGTGACAAACCCCAAGATAGTATGACCCTGGAAAAAGGAGTGAAAAAGAAAGCCATACTGATAGCATTGATCCTTTCACAATACATTCTTTCCCAGTGACAAAACAAGCCCTGGGGAGAAGGTGTCCATCAAACCTGGAAGGACAGCCCCTGAGAAGAGACTTAAGTATTGATCTCTCCCAAAATAATTCCTTTCAGATGCTGCCGCTGACCCTCCAACCCTCTATCGTGCCCAGTAAAAACAAATCCCAGATGCTGACCGTTTACCCCAGACCCTACTTTGCCCAGTAAAAACAACAACAAAAAACCAAATTCCTGAGTGCCCAAACTGACATGTTTATTAATTAAGTCACCTCTCAGTGTAATCTATATACTGGAGCCTAGATTCCTCCTTTGGCCAGTGGCTTATTTTCTGCCAGGAAAGTGGGTCCATCAGTGGCTTCATTCTGTGTTCCTGAATAAAGGCTTTTGATGATCTGTGAAGTTTGCACCTTGCCTGGTCCTTTTGTGCTAACACTGCCTAGTTCCTTTATTCTGATTCCCTATATGTTCATATTTCCTTTCAATTCTGTATTAGTATTTTCATCTATTTGCATTGCCCATTTGTCTTGGATATTATTCACCTGTTAGATTAGATTCCTTACCATATTCAGGAAAGTTATTTTAAATCTAGTTGAACCGTTCTAATATTTCTGCTGTATCTGAGTCTGGTTCTAATGCTTATTTTGTCTCTTCACACAATTTTTTTTTCCTTTTGATATGCCTTACAATTTTCTGTTGAAAATAGAACATATTGTATGGTGTAACATGAACTGAGATAAATAGGCCTTCAGTGTGAGTTTTTATTTTTGTGTGGCTGTGACTTTATATTTACTGTTTGTGGAAAGCTTTAGTTTCTTCTAGTGTTCTTGGTTTTATCTCTTCTGTTTGTTTAAGTTTCCTTAGAGCCTCCTTCCTTTTAAGATATACATAACAGTCGAGTGTATTTTGACATACATACATGGAGTATACTTTACATTCTTTTGATTATACATGATGTGGAGTTAAACTGTTCATGTATATATATGAACGTGGAAAAGTTATGTCTGATTCATTCTACTGTCTTTTTAATTCCCATCCTCCCTCCCTCCCTTCCCTCATTCACCTTTATCTGAACCAGTAAACTTCTGTTCTTTTCTCCCTTGCCTCCATGTTGTGTATTAGCATCTGCATATCAGAGAGAACATTTGACCGTTGGTTTTTGGGAATTGGCTTATTTCATTTAACATGACAGTCTCTAGTTCCATCCATTTATTAGCAAATGCTGTAATTTCAATTTTCTTTATGTCTGAGTAATAATATTCCATTGTGAATGTATACCACATTTTCTTTATCCATTCATCTGTTGAAGGGCACCCAGTTGGTTCCAGAGCTCAGCTATTGTGAAGTATGCTGCTATAAACATTGATGTGGGTGCATCACTGTTGTATGCTGATTTGAAGTCCTTTGGGTGTATGCCAAGGAGTGGGATAGTTGAGTCAAATGTTGGTTTCATTCCAAGTTTTCTGAGTGATCTCCATACTGCTTTCCAGAGTGGTTGTACCATTTTGCAGTCCCACCAGCAATGTATAAATATACCTTTTTCCCCCACATCCTGGACAACATGTATTGTTACTTATATTCTTGATAATTGCCATTCTGACTGGAGTGAGATGAAATCTCAGTGTAGTTTTACATTTTACGATTCTCTAAATACTTGTGCTTTTGAACATTTTTTCATGTATTTGTTGACGGTGCCTGTTCAGTTCCTTAGCTCATTTATTGATTGGGTTATTTGATTTTTTTGTGTTAAGTTTTTGTGTTCTTTGTATATCCTAGAGATTAATGCTCTATTTAAGGTGCAGGTGACAAAGATTTTCTCCCATTTTGTAGGCTCTCTGTTCACCTTCTTGATTGTTTCCTTTGCTGTGAAAAATCTTTTCAGTTTGATACCATTCCATTTATTTATTCTTGATTTTACTTCTTGCACTTTAGGAGTCTTGTTGAGGAAGTTGGTTCCTAAGGTGACATAATGGAGAGTTGGACCTACTTTTTCTTCTAGTAGGCTCAGGATCTCTTGTCTAATGCTTAGGTCCTTAATCAACTTTTGAGTTTTTTGCAAATTTCATTTTGTTACATATGGATTTCCAGTTTTGCTAGCATCATTTGTTGAAGAGTCTATCTTTTCTCCAGTGTGTGTTTATGGCTCCTTTGTCTAGTAAGAGATAACTGTGTTTATGTGGGTTTGTCTTTGTGTCTTCTACTCTGTACCATGGGTCTGTTTTGGTGCCAATAGCATGCCATTTTTATTACCATAGTAGATAGAGCCTCCTTCTTAAGTGGAGTTTGAGCCTTGTAGTTCTTTAGTGGTAATTAATTTAGTCCTATTAACAGAGCCCAGGTGTGGTGGTGGCAAGATTTAGGGAGAAGGGGATGTATTCTATAATCCAACAACTAAATCTTTTAGTGGGCCTTTATCCCTGAGGTGTAAACTTTATGAGTGTTTTTTAGCATTTTTTTCTTCTCTTTAATTGGGACAAGATAACTAATAGGTATCAGAGTTGGGTATATTTTGAGAGAGGGTCTTACTGAGTTTCTTAGTGCCTCACTTTTGCTGAGGCTGGCCTTGAACTCATGATACTCCTGCCTCAGCCTCCAGAGCTGCTGGGATTACAGGCGTATGCCACCGTGCCAGGCTAGAATTGGGTATTTTCTTTTCCTGCATCCAGTATATGCTGTTGTAAAACCCAAAGTGGTTAAGTTCTTAAAATAGTT